CGGTTTCGTCCTATCGGTGGGCACTCTTCTCCGTTTTTCTCACCCTTCTTCTCTGGGACAGGACTTCTCCGTCATGTTGGGGTCATGTTCCCCCTCGTATCGGGGTTCTGTGTGACCTTTTGTCTCGGGTGCGACTGTGCCTTTATGAGCCTTCGTGATTTGTGCTTGCTTCTGTAGGATCTCGAAGGTTCGGGAAGGTCTTCGATTTTTCCCGTATTATTAGAACGTCTGTCGTCTTCCGATGAGGCTTACCTCCAGTCTTTTTAGGGCTCAGTGGTCCTCTTCTGTGTTTCTTCTTGGTTTTCGGTACTGTCTCGTTCATTTGTAATTGTATCTTTTTTCTGTGCTCTGTCTCGGCACTGCTAATATTCCTTAAATACTCCTAGTTGGCACCCTCCCCACCGAGCGGGTTGTGCAGTTCGGACCTCCTGCATCCTGCGCATGCACCGTGGGAGTTTTTGTTATGGACGGTATACACGAGTGTTGGTGTTTCACGTCCTTTTTCTCTCGGGTGCTTCACCTCTCTCGCTCTTTTATCTCTCCTGTCTGGGTCCTGTTGATACTGGGGGTGTTCTGGATTACCAGTATGGGGAAGACGCTTAGTTTTCTCTGCATATGGGTGTGGGGTGCTGCATTCACTTCTACCCCTCTCTTCTCCTGCATGTGAGGCTCTGGCCTTCTTCCACTAGCGGTGCTTCCGGAATATTCTCGGTTCAGATGTGTCGTGACACGTTCGTGCCTACGCTCTGCAGGTGAGTTTATGCGGTCGGGCGTTCTTTCGGCCAGGCGATGGTTCGTAGAGTGCTAGGGGCTGGTTGTGGTGTTTTGTTTGGCCCTTTGTGTGCATCTTTCTGTGGCCTTCCTTGTTCGTCTGTGTTCTTTGTTACACGGTGGGGCATGGCCCCGTCTTTCGTGGTCTTATTTTGGACACTCATTCCCTGACCGTCGTGCAGTGCCTGGCTGAGCCCTTCCATATACATTGGCTTCTCTGTACTCACCTATTTGTACTCACCTATTTGTGCTTGCGGGGGTTGAGCTCCGGCTCTTTGGTCCAGCCTCTCAACTGTCAATCACCTGGTGTACAGGTTCCTTCCTGGGTTCTGTGTGTAGTTGGTCATGTCCCTTTCATTCCCAGTTGCTGCCTATTTTCTTCGTTTCTCATCTTCCTTCTACGCTTCTGTCCCTAGCTGCTGGTGCTTGGGCTGTTTTTCTAATCTTTTTCTGTCCATCTGGATCCATCTGGTTCCTTGCCTATATTGGGTTCAGGTTTCCGGCTCTCTTTGCTGGCGGGTGTTCCTTTGCACCCGGGGTTTTCCCGCAGCTTTGCCTCTTCCTATGCTCGATCTGTCCATGGCAGGACTGGTTCAGTTCTGCCTCAAGTCTCTCACCATATGTTGGTGATCAGGAGGCTTCATTGATGGTGTCCCACCTGAGTGCTTCGTCTTAGCGGCGGTGTGGGTTTTTTTGTCGGTCCTTCCTTTTTCTTTTTGTCCCTTCGTAGGTTTGCTGCATTTGGTGGAGTGGTCTTGTCCTTCTCTTGTGGAGGTTTAGGCCGTCATCTTGCCACATACTGTCGCCTTGTCTCGTGCAGCGCTGGTGGAGCCGCTCCAGGTTGCTTTGGTTTTGGTGTTACCTCTGCACCAATTCGCGAGCTGTCTTTACCGTGATTTACCTCCGGCCTGCTCTTGTGCCGCTTGAGCCATCCTGGTTCTTGGATTGGGTGTTCTCTTTTCTTCTCCTCGGTTTGTTGTGGCCCCTTCAGTTCTGGATTATTTTTCCAAGGCTCTTTTCTTGTTGGCGTTGGCCTCTGGGGGTCAGGTCGGGGTGCTTCACGCTCTCCTCCGGCGCTTGGGTTTCGGCTCTTTTTTTTCTCCTGATAGGTTTGTTCGCTTGCAGCCGTTTCCTTTTTTGGCGATGACTAACACAGCTGCTTTCCAGAAGGGTCCATGGGTTGTTGATGCTCGGTTGGTCTGGCCAGGGGTGCATCATGTGTTGTGTTCGGTTGCGGCGATTCACAGTTCTTTGCAAGCCACGGCTGCCATGACCGGGGTCACACTTTGGGTTGTTCCGGTTTCCTTTCTTCCCTGTTCCAGGGTGCGGTTCTCTCGGGTCGTCCGCGGGGTGGTTCGGTCCTGCCAGCCTGCTGTCTATCCCCGTGCCCAAGTTGTTCGTAAGTTGGCTATGCGTTCCTTTGTTGATGTTCCTGGGCCTTGTTGGGCCTGTGTGGCCTTGGATTGGCAGTTGCAGTTTTTATCTCCGCTTTGCGTTGGGGAGTGAGCGACTTCCACCTCCCGGGTTAGGTCCCTCTTGTTTTCGTCTTTGGGTTGGTAGCACCGGGGAGCTGACAGGGCTCCCCCCAGAAAACCAGCGTTGAATGTAATGAAACACAATTTTCTGGGTGAGTCCCGGAGGCTCCTGCATGGGAGCCGGTGGCTGAACGGGCAGAACACTGGACGCATGATCCTGTGGTCCCGGGTTCTATCCCAGGCGCCGGCGAGAAACAATGGGCATAGTTTCTTTCACCCTGATGCTCTGTTACCTAACAGTAGGAGGGGGGGAGGGCTGCGTAGACAGCGGCGCGGCAACGTGTGACGTCATACTCGTTTGCTCATGTCTGTTTGGGGAGTTCTATCCACTTGTTCGGCTTTTTGTAGCAATTTTCACCAGTTTGGGGGGGGGGGTTTGGGATGCTTACCTCTCTGGGTGCCCAACCTGGTCGATGGCAGACATAGAATGCTTCCAACCACACGGGGGTTTCTATAGGCCATTCCTCCTCGTGCCTCTGTGAGGGGGGCCAGGTTCTGGCTCGTGGTTCCCAGTAGGCCCACAGAACTCCATACACATGACTGATGCCAAAGTCTGACATTAGCATATCAGCATGGATAGCTCTGGGAAGCCTCATTACATTCAAAGCTTTTTGTTTTTGCAGTAATATTTTTCAATAGTCTGTAGTGTGATATATTTATATAATAAAAGGGGTGAATCTTTGCTATACTCAAAAGTATGGTGTGCATATTAGTGATTCAATTTTTATGTTCATAAAACAACAAACAAATAGTTTTGCAGTTATTACTCTATATACACAGGTTATATATAAGTATTTGAATGTTTTGTTCACTATAACGAACCACTTAGTTGGTAGGGTGAGCCAAAACACCAACGAGTGGGCTGCCACACCAAGCCAGCAAACACCGCCATCTTCCCTCCCTCAACGCCTTACTCGCCAACATATTCCTCCTCCCACCATACTGTTATTGCTGTTACTCACTATATACAGATGTTATATAAAAGTATCTACATGTTTTGCTCACCATAATTGTACAACTTAGCTGGTATAGTGCCCAAACAGCATACTGACCACTCTACACAGCGTGACAAGTCATGCAGATGACTCACAAAAATGCTTACTCCCAACATAACCCTTTTGCTGTTATTACACTAATACACACGTTATATTTAAGTATCTACATTTGTGTTCACCATAGCGAACCACTAAGCTGGTATGGTGAGTGCAGACAACAGTTAGCCACACAGTCAGCAGACGACGCTACCTCCTTCCCTCCCTCAGCATTTCTCCTCCCACACAGTGCTAATTATCAGAATAATCCTGCTATTTTCACAATCCTGGTCATTTTTATCACAGTCAGGGGTCCTCTTTAATACTGTCATCAATAAATAATAGCAGTTACATATTTATTTTTACTTTTTAGGCGATGCTGTGGTCATAAGCTGAACACCAGCGCTGTTAGCTCATGCTGCATGGACCAGCCTTGGTTGTGTTACGACCCTGGTTTCCCCGGTTATAAACCAGAGGTCAAATTGAGCTAAATAAACTACTTTATATTAGACACGCTTGCCGACGTGCCTGTTCGTATCTTCCTTGCCAAACGTAGGACGAATCTTGTTGCTCACAAAGCATTCAGACTCTTGAGCTTGTTGTGGATTAAGTATAACATTGTAGTAATTATTAACTATCCTTAGAACGAGTAAACAATATTGTGCATCAGTGAAGATTTTTAATGTGTATAGCTGCACGATCAATTAGGCTCTTCCCGGCACCACAACAACTCGGGAGCCCTGGACGGGACGCTGGATGCGGTCTTCTCTGGCTGGCGTTCGAGGTGTAAACATCTATACTGTGTGGCTCTGCACCTCTCTCCCCTTCCTCCTACTACTCACCATTACCTATTTCTGTGTCTAGTTTACTAAGATAAGTATTGTGTATTTAATTGTGCCTACTCTGAGATTGTAAGATTTTGTGTAGACCTGGGGTAGTATTTTCCAGTGTTTTGGGTACCCCTTAGTGTAGCGTTGTGTTAGGGTACCACGTGGGCTCACTACCCCTAAGCTGCCTCAAGCTTCAAGTTCTTCACTAGTAAACTTTACCCTAGCTTGTGCTATTGGAAACCTTGTATCCTGCCTATGTGGACCAAGGCTTTTAATGTAAGATAGTGTGGTAAAGTAATTATTGTTATTGGTGTGAATGTATATGGGGGGTTGTTAAGGGGTTAATAAATAAGTTAGTTAAAGGAGTATCCATTCTTCCTGTGTAGGAGATCTATGATCTACCTCTAGGCTGACAATTTCAGTAATAAGCCACTATAAGTTTACTATTGTATGTTTCTTGGGGGCCGGGCCTTACTGATCTCAACTACTAGAGATACATCTTTATTCTAACTGCTGCCCTTCACCAAATTATTACTAGATCCCCCATAGTACAACCCACTATTTATAACAGGTTGCTCATACAGTACTGTGGCTCTCACACCGGAGAATGTTGCCCACGATTTTCGTTTTAAATGGTGTCTGTTTACATGAGCCCTGCGGAAGCTGAAGTGAACCAAGTGTAGCTACGGGCGATTTGAATCGTATCCGGCATTCTCGGTCGCATTTGTATGCCATGCGCAGCTTAATGGTTAATGGTTAATGTGACGTGTTCACAGGTAATATGATTTCGAGGTCCTTTGAAGTATTTATAGTATAGGTTTTATAATTTACAGGATGAAGACATTACAACTCAAGAAACCCTGGAGCGAGCTGGGGAGGTTGCAGGACTTACTAAGGACCAGCTTGCACACATTCAGGAGCACATGACACAAGAGGTGACAAAGAACCGTCTAGAAACGTACACTGAAGAAGCTGTTCAGTATGGGGTATGTGGCCTTAAATTGTATCTGTACCAAAAATGGGTTGTAGGCTCTTGTTATTCATATTCATAGTTTTAGAGGGTGCATATTGTTGTCTAGTAAACCAAACTCTCAAGTCAAGCCTGGCCTCGGGCCGGCCATAGGGAGTAGAAGAACTCCCAGATCCCCATCAAGCAGGTATCAAGGTATATTTTCTGGGTAATAGGATGCTCTGTCTTATTGGATGCTCCTGAAATTTCAAGGGAAATAAGGACTTTGATGGGGGAAGCTCCTTGTGGCTGTCTGAAGGTTTCTCGCTGAGAGTGCTCCCACTTACTAATTCACATCAGTTGCAGAGTTCTGTTTAGCCTACCATAGACCAGAATCTCGCCCTCTCACAAGATGCAGAGAGAGGGTGATACTCTGCCACTCCCACTGAGAAAGCATCCAGACAGTCAATGAACCAATACAACTGTTGGGCTCAAAAAACCTAAACCTCAAGAATTTGTAAGAAAATGATCAACACTTGAAACTAGCTCGAACTCGAATAATTTTCCCAAAGTTTATTTTGTAAAGGAACATGAGCTGTCGTTTGAAGATGCTTACATGGACCAAATAATGGCTGAGTGCTGTGGCTACCTGCCTAGTGCTTTGAACATCATAAACAGCATTGTGTTCACTGATATCTGAACATTATACACAGTGTTTATCACAGTCAGGCTCTTCTGTAATACTACCAACGCAAAATAATAGCAGTGTCATAAATATTTTGTAATTTTTTAGCAATGCTGTGGTCACAAGTTGAATAGCAATGCTGTTAGCTGGTGCTGCATGCACCAGCCTTGGTGGCTCACTCTGAACTATGGCCTTCACACCCAAGAACGGTGCCCACGAAATCTGAACATAATTACTCACCCTATCATATGATGGGATGCGTGCAGTCGAAGGGTTAGGTCACTTACCATATGAGCTAGTCTATTGTCATGTACCTTTCACCAAATTTCATTATTTCTTGGGGAGAGCCCCTTCGGCTCCCTGGAGCTTATCTAGACTGATATGCTAAAGTCAGACATTGGCATCAGTCATGTGTATGGAGTTCTGTGGGCCTACCGGGGACCACGAGCCAGAACCTGGCCCCCCCTCAGAGAGGCATGGGAGTAATGACCTATAGAAACCCCCGTGTGGTTGGAAGCATTCTATATCTGCCATCGACCGGGTCAGGTACCCAGAAAGGTAAGCGTCCCAGAAACCCCTATTCAGGTACAAATTGCTACCGAAAGCTGAACAAGTGGATAGAACTCCCAAAAAAGAAACGAGCAAATAAGCATGATGTCACACGTTGCCGCGCCGCTGTCTGTGCAGCTTCCCCCTTCCTGGGAAGGGGGAGCCCCAGACCCCCGCCCGGCTATCCACCTTTCAGTTCTGAGGCTGATGCTATAGGCAACGGTCGTGTGCTCCGGCTCCAGTGGTTGTTTCAGCACTGTACCTAGAGTGTGGTGACTGTCTTCTAGGTGGTGCGTGAGCTGGGAGTGATTCCCCAGTACTCGGGCTGCATGTGCCTAGGGTTTCCTTCCCTAGGTGCCCTGTAAGTACTGCCCTTGGGGCTTGGGGTTACCTTCCCCAAGTTCCTTGGGTTCTGCCTTTGCTAGGCCGTTTACTGTTTTTTCGGCCGCCCTTTGTGTGCTGGGGAGTTCTGTTTCTCTTGTTCGCCTTAGGGTGAAGGGCAGTTTTGCTCTGACTGGGGCACAGGATACTGCTCAGCTTGTTTTCACCAATCATAGCGCCCGGCTCTGTTCCGTCTGGGTACACGGACCTCTTGCGGGGTTTTCTTTTTCTTTTGTTTATCTACCTGGTGGGGGGTGTGTCTTGTTTCTTGCCCCCTGCGAACTGAGTATTCTTCCGGTGGTTCCCCCTGCTAGGTCTCTGTAAGTGTACACGTTCCGGGGGTTCAGTTCTTAGAAGGTTGTTTGGTAGACTTGGGCGCCGGTTAGCAGTACCCTGCCTGGGATTACCTGGACATGAATTCCGTAAATGCTCAGATCCTGGGAATCACCTATGGGGCACGTGGGTTCATTGGATGTGACCCCTGAGTCTTTTCTCGCTTTGTGCAAGCGTTACTAACTTACTTACTTTGTGCAAGTTCGAGGGTTGCTCTGTTCCCTTGTTTCAGGGTGACTCTCACTGTCTTTGCCTCCGTCTGCTGCCTGTGGCGTCGGTGGCACCTTCGGCCCGTAGTCCTTAGTGTTGTTGCTTGTTTGTGACTCGGTTACCCTGTCTTATGCGGGTACAGGCAGCATGGGCTTTGCATGTGGCGTTTCGCTGCTGGCAACGCACTACGTAGTTTGCTCCCTGGAAGCCCCGACACTGCCCCATTTTCGTTGGTGTGATGGGACTTGGGGGTGTTGGTTGCTTCAGTTTTGTTTCCTTCTGCACCCTCCTGTTCTTCCCCTGTGGTGGTCTTGAGACTCGGGCGGTCTCGGGGAATTCCCCTTCCAGGGTAGTGACGGGGCATTCAAGCCTGTTCCTCCAGCCGTGTTGTATGAGTCTGGCAGTGGCCTCCCTTCCTTAGTACTTGTCCGGCTGCCCTGGCTTTTCTTGAGACTGGGGCTTTGGGGAAACGGCTCGGCCCCGGGACCTGCCTTGTGGGTTCCCGGGGCTGACATTGGACCCCGCCTGGGTTTTTCTACCCTCTGGGCGGGGCTTGCGGTTAAGAGGAGTGGGGTTTTTCTCCCCGCCCCCTCTCTGTACATGTTTTTGGGGGTCGGCCCCTCCCCGGGATCGGTTCCTTGTCCCTTAGATCCGTCGGTTCCGTCCTGTCGGTGGGTACGTTTCTCCACCCTTCTTCTCGGGACGGGCCTTTACCATCATATTCTCCTCTTCTCGGGGTTCTGCATGAATTTTGGTCTCGGATGTGACTTTGCCTTCTGTGCCTTAGTGCTTCACACTTGCTTCTTTATGTTCTAGAAGGATCGGGAAAGTTTTCTTTCTTCCCGTATTATTGGAATGTCTGTCGTCTTCCGGTCCTTTCTGGGTGTGACGGGAAAGTGTAGGAGTGTAGATGTTCGGCAGTCCTCCTAATGGCTGGTGTCAATGCCTGTCACATTTACAAAAAAAAGAGACTGCTTGGCTGTTGTCTGTGGTAGAGTAAGGGAAGACACGCAAAACACACAGTATGAACAATGAAACTTTAATTAACTAGAAAGCAAATTTAAAAACAAAGACTATCCCTTGGCTGTGTACAGTGCAAACAAACAAGTCATAAAAATTAAGAATAGGGATAAATTACTCTAGGAATAATATAAAGACAAAATGACATAAACAGGTGCTGAGAATATAGCGTTAGCTGGGAACCTCCACCAATAAACAGGACGTGTATCAGTTGGTTGTTCACAACTTGAGAGCACAAGGATATTCTGACTTCAATGGCTGGTTCAAGCCCAGACATCGACTTAGGTAGAGGGCGCAGAGGTGCAGGTGTGCAGACGGCGGGTCACCAATAAGAAGCAGGCAGGTTGGAATGGTAGTTTGCTGGTTGACGACAGGCGAGCCGGCATGGAGGGAGTGTGGAGTGGGGGTTTAGGTTACGTTTTGCCTCCAGGTCAAAACGTTTGTGCTACTGGTAGACATATCTTGAAGGTAGCATCTTATTCTTGTATATGTGTAAGTAACTTTATGTAGGGAAGAGCAGGCTCAATCTCTCTTGAAAGAGATTGTCACACTGGGGCTTGTTGGTTCTTCGCCGAGCTTCTCGGTTTTCGGTCCTGTTTCGTTCCTTCGTGTTTGTCTCTTCTCTCCGTGCACTGTTTTGTGCTGCACAGGGTTGCCAGATTTAGCTCCTTGTAGCCCAAATGAGAAGCTGTGCTTTGTTTCATTTCACTTCTTTCTGCTCTTATCGACTACGGTTGGCAGCTGCCCTGTGTACTCTCATCTGGGATTTGGTCGTTAACATCACTATTTTGTCTCTTTTTTCTAGTCACATTCGTGGTTTCTTTCTTCAGCTCGCGATTTCTAGCAACATACATATGGTATCCCTGCTGTGCATGCGCCGTGGTTGTTTTTGATGTGGGCGAGGTGCACGTGTGCTGAGGTTCTGCGTTCTTTGTCTCTCGGACGCTTCGCCTCTCGCTCCTCTCAATTCTCCAGTCCGTGCCCAATAGCTTCTGGGGTGTTCTAGATTGCTGCTATGGGGAAGACGCTGAGTTTTCCCTGTGTATGGGTGACGGGCACTGCCATTCTTCCACTAGCGGTGCTCGCGGAATCTTCTCAGTTACGTTGTGTCGTGACACGTTCGTGCCTACGTTTTGCAGGCGAGTTTATGCGGTCTGGCATCTCTTTCGGCCAGGCACTGGTTCGTGGTTTTTGGATACGAATATAAAAACATCAGAACACGGGTGACTGCAGCAGGCCTATTGGGCCATACGAGGCAGCTCCTATTTCTACCCATCCAGTCCCACTCCTATGTATGTCCAACCCATGCTTGAGTCCAGCTAGGGGCCCCACCTCCACCAGGTTACAAGGTACAGTGGTGGGGGTATATGTTAGGGAGTACATGTTACTGTCAGGATATTCTGAGGTGACATTTTGCTGCAGTTTTCATACTGTGGTTGCGTGTTGGGGATTGGTTGTTAGGCATTTCCTTGTTCGTGTGGGTTAATGGTTGCCAGGAGGATCACGGCCCCGTTTTTCGGGGTCCTATCTGGGTCACTCATTCCTTGCCCGTCTTGCAGTGCCTTGCTCAGCCCTTCCATATACTTTGGATTCTCTGTACAGTTCTTACCTAGTTGTACTTCCATAGTTGTGTTTGTGGGAGTTGAGCTTTGCCTTTTTGGTCCCGCTTCTCACCAGTCATTCACTGATGTGCAGGTTCCTGAGCCTGCTGGGCTCTATCGTATCTGCGCTTGAAGCTGTGTGTGGTGTGATCCTCCACCACATCACTTCCTCATGCGTTCCGCTTTCCTATTACTCTGACACTACTCTACTACTTTCCCATGTCTCTATGCCTCATTTGGACTCTCATTCCACCGCTG